TCCACATGATATTTTGGCCATATCTACCTAAATCATGATTTTATTAAATATTCTAGTGGATATGACACTTTCACCATAAATTTCCAATTAGATTGGACTGTTTACTGGTAATATCATTGATATTCTGTTTCTGAAGAAAAACTTTAACACTTTTTGCCCTGTAGAAATATGCACACTGAGCTGGCAAGATGTAGACGTAAGTTCTATGCTAACAGTTTCTTTTCTAACACTTCTCACTTGTGAAACTTGTTTTTGGCTCCATTCTTTCAAACCAACTTTGATCTGCCAAAATTTAAATGCAGTGTCAATCACTATCTAGTTTCATCCTGACTATCACTTTTTCTTCACGCTCATTATTAATGTTTCTGTTCCTAATTCCCTGTAACCCCTTGTGTCTTAATGGCTTTGTGGCCCTGTATGGGTTGATATTGATTTAAAAAATAAAAATATTATTTTTGAGTTTTTCTTTATTTTAATAAAGATTTGGAGTTTTTTTTTTTTTCCTTTTTTATTATAGCAAAATAAACAAGGTCATAAAGCTGCTAAGATGAAAGAGGTTATTGAGAGTGAAAGAAACTGAGAAAACATTACTAAGAAAAGACAATATTCAAGCAGACAGAAAATGACAGGTGACATTGCATTCCAATTCTTGAAGATCATATTTGATAAGAAAGCAAGAACTTGGAAGAGAGCTTCAGAGACAAGAAGTACATGAAAATAAACTATTATAATAGAACATGGTTACACTTAGCAATTTCTACAGTATTGAGTCAAAGGTTTTTCTATATTTCAAACTTTAATCAATTCAAACAAATTACATATGAAAAGCATCAATTCATCCAAATATAACCCATCATATTGTTTTTTTCTGTTGCCATTATTATACCAGAAGCTCAATTCCATGCTTACACTATTTGTCTGATTTAGAGGCAAAAACACTCTGCATCTGTTTTCAATCTTATCCACATTGTTGAACCTCTGTCGGCATAGAAAATCAGCCATGGCTCAGAAAAGGTGGTAATCTGATTTTGGAAGGTCTAGATTGTGCACAAGTTGAGGCAGCACTTCCTGTCACTCAAATTCCTCAAGTTTATGCTTGGTTACATTAGTAGCCTGTACTGGGACATTGTCATGCAGTAGGAGTGTGTGTCTTTGCAGTGTAGTGGGATTTCAAAGCATCATATACTTGCTGTAGTTGTTGAGCCTAGAAGTCAACATTACCCAATGACCACCTTGGATAAGCTCAAAATGCAACACCCACACAAAATTTCCACCAAATACACATAACCTTCTCTTCAAAAAGCCATTATTTGACAACAGGTTTTGAAATCTGGCAGGAATGAAGCCACTGATTTCTCTTATTAGGATTATGAAAATAGATCTATTTTTCATCCCCAGTTATAATTCAACACTTGAAAAAGTTTTGAGGATTTGCCAGCAATATTTACATGTTGCTGAGCTTGGTCATTGGTCAGTTCATGAGGAACTTCTCAAAAGCATCCATTCAAGACAGAATTTACAGTGGTGTTGATTGATGGTGCTTTGTGAAGGACCAAGTAGAGAATACAATGTGCAAGTCCTTAGCTGTTGTTTAAGCAAAGTTTCATCTTTCACAACAGAAGGTCTCCCTGACTTGGTTTGTCTTAACGCTGGTGTCACCATCATTGAAATGTCTAAACCAGTTTTATACCACATGATATTTGAGCCTTCCATATCATTAATTTATTTTGCATCCTTCTCTTGCATTCCATCCTTTTTTCCACAGATAGCATAAAATGACTGCTAATTACAAATTTTTCACCACTCATTATCAAAGCTGTAAAATAAAGAATAAACAACTAATCTTTACATGTTATATATGAAAATAAATAATAAACATTTTGGCAGTGATCAGACAAGTTGTATCAAATTAATGATATAACAAGTTGCCAGAAATTATCAGTAAAAATCCGAAAGAATTTTTAAAATGATGAGACCTTGCCGCCAATCTAGTTAGTCAGTTATGTGCCATGCATGATACACACTTGGGCGATCATGTATTTTTTGGTACATGACTGATGAGGCAGATTTTTTTGGTTGCCATTTCTTTCTGCAGTTTTTCTGCCAACCAGGGCTAAAGAACCCAGTTCTGCTATTCAACCCAAGGCTGGGGAGAGAAAAGATGGATTCATACCTTTTCCAAGGGTATTTGTGTGTAAGTGAACACAACAAACTTGACTGGAATTCAAACTTGGCTCTCCAAGTTCTCACTCTGAGCCAATATCCATTGCACCACACTGCACATCCAATCTAGTACTATGCTTAAATTCTTGCTGTCAAGCTACCAAAGAGGAAATCTCATCAGAACAATTGCTATGAAAGGCACAGGGAAACTATGTTACAGTGTTACAGCTAAGATGCCATATCAGGACCGATAATGTTGCAAATTCTTCTCTGGTTTTTACCAAGAATTTCTAAATATATGACAGAAGCAGAATAGATATAGTAACAAAACTTAATCCATGGACAAGTGGTGGTCTCATAAAGGTGCAAGATAGATTCTGGTGAGAAAAATAGTCTAACATGACATTGTAAATAAACTTTCCTAGTAGAAGACTTAGCAATTTCCTATCCTGATGATGAGACGTCTTCTGTGATGTATCTATATATTTTGCTGTCATAATCTTACCACTTTGTTTATATTTGCACCAAATTTTGTACAGAGCCAACTAGGAACAACCAACATCATCTGTTACACTCCATGTTGGATTTCCCACTTGAAGGTATTTTATAATCAATCCAATTGTTTCAGTCAACAGCTCACTACTTAGAGTCATGTTACTTTCCAGTTAGCCTAGTCCAACTGTTTGTTAAGGTCTCATCCAGGGAAAAACAAACTATGTCCAACAGCAAAGCCTCTGATCAGGAGATTTTGAGAAATGTGGAACCACCTCTTAAATGTTGGTGTTCCCAGGTCCATTCTGACCTGGGGTGGTAGCACCTGTTAGGGTCCCAGCTATGGGTAAATAGTTAACCCAAACTGGGGTCAAAACACTATGAAAATGTAAAAATAGGTTTTAATACCAGCAATAAATTCTTTGAGGAAAAATTATTATCAGCAATTCGTTATTACCTGCAATATATTTTTGAAGAAAAAGATATTACTAGCAATACATTTTTGAAGAAAAAAATATTACCAGCAATACTTTTTGTAAATAATTATTACCAGCAATACATTTTTAAAGAAAAAAAATATTGCTAGCAATATATTTTTTAAGAAAAAAATATTACCATCAATACGTTTTTGGAAAAATTTTACCAGCAATAAAAATATTGTTGGCATTAAATAATTCATTGAGGTTGATATGCCATAAAACAAAACCAACAAAACCAAACTTGTTATGGTCTGCAAACATTCTCATTTAACTGGAGATTTGTATTTTTAGATTTGTGTTAGAAATGAAAATTGAAAGGTGATTTCATAATTTTCCTCAAAGTTGAGTGATTCCATTATTTTTTCATCCACTTCATCTTCAAATTTCATCTATTCCATTGATTTAAATAATTTATTCTAATTTGCTTGTGGTAACTTCCTTAAAGCCAGACAGTTATGTTGAAATTTTCTTGTGCCATATTTTTTACTTGGTCATTTCTTACAAAATGAAAAATGTAAAATCAATATGAAGAGAAAGTGATAGATAAGAATAGAATGAGATAAATAAACAGCAAGAGATCTGGACACAGATAGATTGATAATTCCCATGCACTTGATGACAAAAGCTTATTGATGAAATATATATATATATATATATATATATATATATATATATATATATATATATATGTGTGTGTGTGTGTGTGTGTGTGTGTGTGTTATTGATTAAAATATCAAACACTTAAAATCCCATTAATAAAAAATTTGCCATATCTTTTGACATAGAGCTCTCCCTGGATCTATATTCTCCTGGAAATTCCATATGGATTACCATATTGTATCATTACTATATATATATATATATATATATATATATATGAATGAATTAGGGGTCAGTTTTTTTAAAGCATTTAATAAGAATATGCTGCTAATCAGACAATAATTCTCTTCATTATTTTGAAACCAATTAAAGCCCAATTAAAGCCCAATTAATTACTGACCAGATTCATGATAGTAGATTTATATAGAAATTTATATTTTTTATTAATAATCAAAAGAAAATAATAGAAAATTCAAAAACTTTCTTTCTATTCTAATTCTTATGATGTTTATGATGAATAATATTTGTTTAAATATTGGTACAAATTCTTTAAATTTCAATTTTTGTTTTCTTTGTTAAATTCTCAAGGTTTTCATTGAATTCTGAACAGTTTTCTCTTCATCATTTTTCTTACAGCTTCTTTTTAATTATTTTCTTTTTCTTTCTTTTTTAATTATTTTCTTTTTCTTTTTCTTTAATTATTTTTCTTCTTTTTTCCTCTCTTTATTTTTTTGTATCAGTTTCTTTTTTCCTTCTAACTCTTCAACATTTTATTTTTATTGTTATTTTATCCTTCCAATCACTCTTCATTCTTACTTGATTTCTTTGAATTTTTTATCCATGCCATCAATTTTACCCACCAAAATGAAGCTACTTGCCTCATTAAATTTTGAGTCAACATTCAAATATTCCAAAATTCTGTTATGTAACACGTGCCTGTGTGAATTGCCATGTTTTAGCTGAATACCTCTAGTTTTATTCTTTCATGAAAGAAAGGACAACAGATAAAAGGAAAAAAATATGTACAAAATAAAAAAAGCAACAACAACAAAGAGACAAGAAAGCCTTAAAGTCATTCTGAATATTTTTCTAATGAAAAAAAGAAAAAAAAATGAAATGAGTTTTATACAAAAATCCATTGATGACATGTTCTAAGTAATTAAAGGTGTCAATGAAGGACTGAACACAAAGAGTGAAATCAAAAGATTTTTTTCATGTGAATGGGAATAGAAAGAATGAGAAAAAAAAATAAAGATGGAAGAAAAATTAATGAATGAAAAAAAAAATAGGAACCAAGAAAATAAATAAATGACTGAGAATGTGACAGCAAAAAAATGGAAGGAAAGGGTTTGATGGAAAGAAAAGAAGAGATGGAGGAGAAAGAAATGCTAAAAGGTAGGTGGGAAGTAAGAAGGATAGAAGAGAAAGAAAAATAGAAGAAATGGTAGAAGGGACTTAAAGGAGGAAGTACAAGTGAAAAATGAGAAGAAAAAATGAATCAGGAAGAGAAGAAAACATAATGTACAATAAGATAAATGATTATTGATTATTTTGAAACAATTTTTCATTGATTAATCTGATCATATTAATTGCAGTTTCTTATGAGTTAAATGAAAAAAAAATTGAATATAATATTTAATGATTCACATTTAGGGTTAACTTAAAAAGAGAATGACAATAATAAGAAGGAAGACAAGAAAGAGGAAAAGAAAGAAGGAACTTACAAGGAAGCAGAAAAGATGAAACCAAAAGTGAAGAAAGTAAGTATAAACAATTCTGAAGAAAGAAAGAAAGAAAGAAAGAAAGAATCAAAAGTGAAGAAAGTAAGTATAAACAATTCTGAAGAAAGAAAGAACCAAAAGTAAAGAAAGTAAGTATAAACAATTCTGAAGAAAGAAAGAAAAGAAAGAAAAAGAAAAGAACCAAAAGAAAGAAGAAAAGTGAAGAAAGTATAAAACAATTCTGAAGAAAGAAAGAAAGAAAGAACCAAGAGTGAAGAAAGTAAGTATAAACAATTCTGAAGAAAGAAAGAAAGAAAGTAAATATGAACAGTTATGAATAAAGAAAAAAGTGATGTAATGCAATAACCTGTCACCCCCATGAGTGGCTACACTATTGGTAGTAATTACCTATAAGTATCTGTAAGTCAACAAACTACAGAGACTAGCTGCGATCTGTTCCAGCTAGACGGTCGAACTCTCTACCTCATCTGGGTTCCTCTGTGTTTCAAGCACAGAGAAACCCGGACGAGGCTTCACCAAAGGGCAAAGTCTTGTTCAGGGAGCTAGACTGACCCTGAACCCATTTATGCGGGTTCAAAAAGAGAATATTTTTGGCCAAATCTATGGGCCCAGCGAACCCATGTTAAACTGGCCTCGTGGGGGGTGGTAGCTAAATATACTAGCTGAGATCTGAGTACGACTCAAACTTACATGAGAACTACTGACCTTCCAGTAGTAGCACAAACTACTGCATTGACTTGTGACGACCTTGTGCATAACGGTAACCTTTATTCTTATTGTACTGGGTTTTTAAAATAAACCTTTACTTATTTTATCCACCTTGTGTTTCAAGTATATATTCCTATTAGCAGAGACTATAACAGAAAGAAAGAAAGACAGAACCAAAATTGAAGAAAGTAAGTATGAACAATTCTGAAGAAAGAAAGAAAGAAAAGAGCAAAGAAAGAAAGAATATAAAATACATTGATTGATTAGTTTTTTATGACTTATCAACACTTTTGTGGTTATTTAAAATGAAAACATATTTTAGATTGTATTAAGAAAAAAAGACAATAGGAAAACAGTTTTCCTATTGTCTTTTTCTACAGGTTAATTCTGAGAAATTTTTTACATATTTTGGATTGTAATAATAATTCTTTGTCTTTTTGCAAATGAATATTGCATTAACAATTTTTAAGAATAACAATGAGTTTTCCAGATATGAATTCTACTATTTAACCCACAGCTAGCGGAAGAGATAAATTCATACCTTTTCCAAAGGTATTTGCGCATAAATGAATATAAAAAAAATTACAAACCTCTATTACACCAGCTGCACATCCACCTAAAATATACAGAAAAAAAGAAACAAGAATAAAAATTCTGTTTAAATTAAAACTAAAAACGATGATGGTGACACACAAAAATGTCAAATAAAACTAAAAGGAAATAAATTACATTGATATCAAGAAAATGAAAATTGAAAGAATAAAAGAAAAATGTATTAAAATTAATTAATACAGATTTTTATACAATTGATGAGTTTGACAACTGATACTTATACCAACATCACAAGATTTGATGTTAATTTAAAAATATATATATATATATATATATATATATATATATATATATATATATATATATATATATATATATATATATCTGTTGATGTAAATCTTAAGTTTCATATAACATAAAATATAAAATATGTATATTTAAAAAAATATGAGAATAACAAAATGGTTTTATTCTTTTTCTTTACTTATTAATTCATCCAATTTACAAAACTTATCTATTGGAAGATCATTACAACTAAAGCCAAAGTTATTTATCATATTAAAAATATCTTGACAATGAACAAATTTTATAATTTTTCGATAAATTTCAGTAATTTTTATAGAATAAAATCTTCATGAATCTAATAAATAAATTCTTACTTTACTCATAATTTTTTTTATATCAAATTTTACTGCATTAAAAACAACAGCACAAAGCTGAAGAAGGATTGAAAGCATACCAACCGATTAAGTTGTAATATTAAATATGTTAGGAACTACCATTATATATTACTCTATCTTGAGCATATTTTCATGTAATTTTGAGGAATCCAGTAAACAGAGAAAAATTATAAATATACCTAGTTGTAATTTTAAAAAATGAACAAAGCAAAGCAATGGAATCACTTTGTTGTAACTTGGTAAACCAATAAACAGAGAACAAAAATCAAACCACTTTGTTGTAAATTTGAGAAACCAGTTGACAGAGAAAACAAATAAAGCCACTTTGTTTTAAACTACAGATACCAATAAACAAAGGAAAATAATAAAGCAACTTTGTTGTGAACTAGAAAAAACACTAAACAGGGAAAACAAATAAAGCCACTTTGTTGTAAACTAGAGCTACCAATAAACATAGGAAAATAATAAAGTCCCTTTGTTGTAAACTAGAGACACCAATAAACAGAGGCAAATAAAGCCACTTTGTTGAAACTAGTTGACAGAGAAAATAAATAAAGTGTTATGATGTTAATTTGGGGTTAATAAAGACAAACGCCAAATAACACGTAACAATAGAAAGGGGTTTATTCGGTTGGTAAGTAGGTACAGAAATCGCCTGAGTAGTCTATAACTAGCTCAGCCAAGAACTTCTCCGACTCTGTCTGTCTTTTGACATGCCACTATTTAACGTCTTTGTTTGTAGACAAGTTCATCTTCAAGAGGGGTGGAAGGTTTCCTATACAACATAAAGCCACTTTGTTGTAAACTAGAGAATCCAAGAGGAAAATAATAAAGCTACTTTGTTGTAAGTTGGAGATACCAATAAACAGAGGAAAATAATAAAGCCACTTTGTTGTAAACTAGAGAAAACAAAGCCACTTTGTTGTAAAATAGAGATACCAATAAAAAAAAGAACAATAAAACTACACTTTGTAAATCTGGAGAAACCAATAAAAAGACAAAATGATAAAGCCACTTTAAAGTAATTATGTTCCTTTTTGTTTTGTTCATGGTTACAGCTACCTTCTTCCTAGACACTTACTGTAAGATTCCCAATTGATTTGCCCTCACCCCACCAAAAAGTGTTCATCTTTTCTTTTCATATTTGTTGAGCCATGTCCTACTCAATCATATTAGCTGAGACTATAGCTTTTTGATGTCTAATTTTGGTGGGTTAGCTTGTTCACTCTATATGTTCACAACTACCACTTCATGGGATTTTATATTTACAGTTTAAAGTTATATTTATTTTGTAAGGAAACCTAAAGATTTTGTATATGTTACATATTTTTTTACAGTAGAATTTTTATGTTCATCTACAAATCAGATTTAATTCACTAATTGAATATGTTAAAACTAAATACACATATAAATATCTATAATTCTTTAAACTGAATCTCCATGTAATGAAGCAAAATTTAATTTATATAATGATAGATCAAGGATTTTCATGTCAACTTAAACAATAGTTTCAGGAAGTAAATATTAATCAATTCTGTAAAACTTGAAAGACTTATCAATTTATGTCAGATTATTTTATGTATGTCAAGTAAGCAATAAAGCCACTAAGATACAAGGAATTACTGAGAGTAAGAGGGCAATAAAAGATCCAAATTCAAAGAAACAGAAAATGATAATTGACATTGCATTTAAATTTTTGAAGATCATTGTTAGCAGGAAAACAAGAAACCAGAAGCAAGTTTCACAAGTGAAAAGGGGAAGGGAAGAAACTATCAGAATAGAACTTACACTGACATCTAACAATTTCAACAGTGAAATTATGAGACCTAACTGTCAATCTAGTACTATGCTTAAATTCAGGAAGTCAAGGCATCAAAGAGGAAAGCCCATCAGAACAACTACCATAAAAATATTTATAGAAAAGAACAACTACACTGGATCAATAACTGCATCTACTGTAAGGAAAATTGGCTCACTGTGTTGTGCCAAAAGGTTTTTCACATCAGAGTCCATCTTACATATCTACAAATCTACCATTTGTCCATGCATTGAGTACTGTTGATATATCTGGTTTCATGCCCCAGCTGTTCATCTTGAAGGACTGCAATGTAATCAATCTTGACTTGGCATCTCGACTTCATTCTCAACAACATATGGCTTCTCTTTGTCTTTTCTACAAATAACTGTTCTGTTGAGTTTTTTTTTCTGGTGCCTCAGCTACATAAATTTAAGCATGCTATAAGACTAGCATCTAGATCCCACCCTTTTACCACTGAAATGGTTAAATGTAACTACCACTTATACACCAACAGCTTCTTTTCCCACACTTTACTTGGTTCCCTGATAACTACAATCTTCAAAAATATAAATGCAACAATCAATTGCCATTTTCTGATGTCATAAACCTCATTCATCTTTTATCCTCTCCTCATTTCCCCACTTTATACAGTTTTTTCTTTCACCTTCACTCAATGTAACCCCCTGTGAAGCAGTGGCACTGCTGCCTTGCTTGGAGTGAAATGCTGAAAAAAAAAAAGCCACAGGGATACTACATTAAGATGGTGAGATCTTTTTTCACTAATATATAACTTTATTTAAAATACTGATAGTAGATTATTTTGGGCAATGTGAGGCTCCATTTTGCAAACAAATGTCAACTTTTATTTATAGATAAACCCTAAAGATAACTGCTAAAGAAACGTGTGTTTGATTAACACAGTGTCCCATAGACATGGATAAATTACTTTTTTACATTTTAATATTGACTTTTTGACATTCTATAACCTTCATTATTCTTTCAGTCATTGATTTTATTTATAAATAAATCATAAAAGATAGGCCATAGAAACATATATTTTTTAATACAATATCCCATATACCAGAATAAATTATTATTTTACTTGTTAATATGGGCTCTTTGACATTCTATAACCTTCATCAGTCTTTCATTCATTGATTTTATTTATGAATAAATCATAAATGATATAGGCCATAGAAACATATATTTGATTAACACAATATCCCATATACCTGAATCAATTATTATTTTACATGTTAATATGGGCTCTTTGACATTCTATAACCTTCATCAGTCTTTCAATCACTTTTCTTAACTTTTCTCCTGCTTCAACTTTAACATTACTTGCAGCAATTTTCATTGCTTCCCAGAAAATCATCTTCACTTGAATATTTTTTATTCTTTTTTTTATTTTCGTATACATCTCTTTTAATGATGGACAACAGATCTTCTGTTGGGTTAACAAATGTAGAGCCAAGGCTTTGTTAATTTAATGTTTATGAAATATTTTTGGCAAGGTGGGCAATTGCCAAAAATGTCTTATCCCTCAATTTACAATAATTATCTACATTTGCTTTTATATCAGCTTCTTTTTTTTTTTTAATCAATGCACAACAAGCAA